TCACTAAATACTGAGAATAATCTCGAATTGTAAGTTGATTCAGACATTAGAATTTTACCATGACTTTCGATTGGGCGCCATACATTCATTTCGTCAGTGTAAACTTTCTTTCAGAAGAAGCGCCATCTAATAATTTCTTATTTGGAATGTTGTATAGTTTGCTTTCTACCCGTCACACGCCCAATGTTCCCTTCCGTACGTCTCAATAATTATGAGTATAAGAGGTACCTATATACTTCTTGATGAAAAAAGTATGGACGATAACGATAATTAATTAAACACTATCGATCTATAGACAACATCGATACCAAATTACAGGGTTGGGATAAGTCATGACTTTTATAAAAAAGTCATCAAAGTCCGACCTTTTGAATTAAGTCAGACTTTCATTTACCCAAAGCGAAATAGAAAAAAAGAAACAAAAAACTATGTTTTTATTCCCTCCAGAAATCTTGTAGAATAACATCATAATATAACATGTCATTTTTTCAAAACAAAATTAAAAGTGATGATAGAATACAAAATAATAGATACATATAGATCCAGTATCATCCATTAAGTTCGTATATAACACATGGAGAAAAAGTTTAATAGTAGAATATCGAAACATTTTTTCTCGGGGATCTATTATGCATGTCTGACTACTTAAAAGTCGATTGACACATGTCACTTGGTCACTGGTATGGCAATAAATTCAAAAAAATACGATGGCAAAAAGTGGGGTTAGATGGGAAGATGAAGTTATTTAAAAAAAAATAAAAATAGCTATTTTCAGTTTTCTCAAATAATGGCTGGAAACTCCATATGTGAGCATGAAATTGAATTCTATTCAACTAGTACATCATCAACATCACTGCTGTCAGAAAAAAAGAGAATTGTAACAAAATTGAAGAATATTCGAAAAAATATAGCTATTTCCAATTCTCCTCCAAAAATTGCTCGAAACTGAATGTGGAATAGCAACTTAATGAGAAATGTTTATGGATACTTTGTTATCTAACCCCACTTTTCGTCGCTTTATAGTATTGTTTTTATTTATTACCATACCAGTGATCACGTGACATGTATCAAAATCGATTTTTAAGTTATCGGACATGCATAATGGATCGCCGAGAGAAAAAAATTCGATGCTGTGATAATAAACCTGTTCTCATATGTTATGGACTTTATGGATGATACTTGATACTGCATATATCTGTTAGTAAAAATCTCTGTCATGCTTGAAATAACAAAGTCTTGCCAAAATACGATCAAATTCTTCAGTTTAAACTAGTTAAAATCAAAGGTAATAGTGCAATTTGTCTCATTTTTAAAAATTTTAATGAATTCATGACTTTTTCGAAAAAAGTCAATGGAATTAATTCACTAATTAAATCACTGATTTAATTCATATGAATTAATTCATGCCAACCCTGTACCAAAATATGGATAATATCGATAATATCATCGATAATATTGATAAACCGATAATATCGATACGTTGTGATTATCAATAATAATAATCGATAATCCATATAATCACTTGTAATGAAGTATTTTTGTGGGCTTGATTACTAGACTTGTTTTGATAATTATTTAAGTACCTGAGACTGATTTGACTCGAATTTCACTTGTTCGAAGGCTCACAACCCGAAAACCTGATAGATCTGAGTAGTTCACTCAGTATAATTCATTAATTCTCCACATTCAAAAGTGTTTCCCGATAGTAAACTCCGCAAGACATCACTACAACCCGAGGGGTAAATCACAGCCCAATTTCGGGTACACTAGACTTCCTTTGTCGAAAGAATTCCCGGAATATCCAAGGAATTCCCGGACTCCCCGAAGAATTCACAGATTTCCCAAAGAATTCCCAGACTTCCCAAAGGATTTCCGGACGTCCCAAAGAATTCCTGGACTTCCCAAGGAATACCTCGACTTTTCTATTGCCATTTTTATTTTGGACTTCTGTGTTCGATATACAGGCCAGACAAAGTTTGACGGTGTTTCTCATCATTAAGTCGAGTACCTACCTATTCAATGATATAATATCACGTGATTTTAAACTCAGTTGATATTTCACAAATCAGTTTATTGTACCCGTTAGTGCAGATAAATTCTTTTTCGATTGGGTGAATCTTCTCAGTTCTCAGTGACAAGAAAAATACGAATTTGCCATACAAAAATCAATTTTTTATGTTGAAAGCGGGAGCAGAGTCGTTCCCGAAACGTCCAAAGTTAAGTAAAAAGTCATTTCTCTTCTCCAAACCTTTTTCAATACAAATTGTCACTGACAAACTAGTGAATTCTTCTTCTAGGCTCTCTGATAGGAAAATTCTTTGAAATAATATTGATATTTTTATTTTATAAAGAGGAGAGAAAATCCCAGATAATCTGGAATAATGAATGTACCACCTCCTCGATTAACCTACAGACAGTATTTGATAAGATATCTATTACTCCGATTCACCCTGTATCACGTAAAATAATCGGGAAGTTGGAAGAAGTCCATCAAAAAGTTTGATTAAACGAGAAATGTATATGATAACTGAATATATCCTTGAAGTAATCAATATTTCATTGTTGATTTTTTTCTGATCTGATGTAGGCGTAGATATTCAGCCGTGTCACGTTGTCAGTATTTTCACAGAAAATGGAATTTCGATTATCATACAGAAACCCTTACGCCCACGGCGAAATCTTTCAATTCCATCAGAAGAGAATATAATATTTCATATTTCGAACAGTGGCTCTCCTCGGGCATTTCGTCAATATTTTTTTTCCAAATTCAATATGTTTTGTTTGAAATATAAAGAGTTGCTGAAAGAACGGAATTTGGTTTTCTAATAACAATTTTCTATTCATGGACCGATTTCATTGATTTTGGTCTTGTTTGAGATAAAATAGATCAAAACAGAGCTCACACTTCCCATTTTTTTTGTTCGACTTTTGAATTCTTCAATCAAGTTGGCGTATGACAAACGTCGCTTGTTGCATTGTTGATTATGTTTCTTCGGGATTATAATCGTTGAAAAACAAAATTGTGTTGACACCCTGTAATTCGAAGGCGGTGAGTTCGCGATCCCATGTTGATATGATTTTTATCTTAAGAATCACCTGCTTTGAAACTTCCTGCATATTTTGTGGTCGTTTTGTGGAGTCAGTTTGGATAAAATCATAACATATGAATCAATATAGGTATGTCTTTATCGTGTTTTATCAGCTATTTTGTAATTAACAAATTCTCATTTACGACTTCTCGTTCTGTTCAGAAAGATTCCAGCATTTGAAAAATACTGAGTGACTCAAACGAGTACCAACAACTTTCAAAATTCGACCAAGTTTAAACAGGTGTGTCTATCATATTGTTTTTTGAATAACATATCTAAAAAAATTAGAAGTAAGTGGTCTGCCTTGATTCTCAGACGAGACCAAAGTCAATGATATCGGTTAATGAATAAAAAAACTACATTTGGATTAAGCTCTGTTAAAAGACAATGAATTTGGACGTATGTTGCTTATAAAATTTTAAGTGGTATGGCCCTATCCCTAATGAATATATTATGTATAAGATACCTACTTAATGATGGTATCGTTGAGTGTGTAAAGAAAAAATGTTTTGATCAATTTACCAGAATGGCGCCACTGATTTCGGGGGAAATCTTGGGAGAGTGGGGTAATAGTGCGGAAGTCATCCTGCTGAGAATCGAATTCCGATTAGATTCTGGTTAGAAATTCGACAAATGTCATTTGCGTTCCATAACCGCTAAATTCTGTCTCTGCATCGTTATTGAATAATATTAGGAGGTAGACATATTTCGAAGTTCCAATCTTCGTCTAATCTTCTGTAGAAGGTACCTATCTGAGAATGTCGAAACAGTTTCAGTCGATTGGATTCTTATTCCGATGAACATGGAATATGAAAGTTGTGGTTTGATCGATAAATGTTACAGTCATTACAAAAATCATAGCAGACCGCAATTTCCTCCAATACTGTTACCCAATGAATAATGAATGAAGTAGGTACTGTTCATGGAAGATTTTTTTGACCTAATTCGAGTACCCAGTTTCGAAAGGCCTTTTGGGAAACACCTATAAGGACTGTGAATGCCGAGGTGGATGACTGATGCCTGCCTGTGAGAGAATATCAGTAGGTATCTCAGATAGCCATGCAGAGATCAGTAACACAACAATGAAGATTGTATCAAACTCCCTGGTAGACTTACCTCACCACCTAATCAGTTGACGAATCAAAAAATGTACTGACTTAACCAATAACTGCCACCTTACTAAACACTTCCACACTATATGTGTGTTTTTGATGAAGATGCAAGCAGCGAGGTCAATTTCTAAGGTTTCAATTGACTGTGAGACACTCACTTCACGGATTGACGAAGACGATAGGGCCACAAAATCTTTGAGTAACAACTTCCCGTGCAAAATTTCGTGAACAGGGTATAAGTTACTTAACCCTAAACTTCTTTAGAGACTAGTATATTGGCAGGAAGAAGGTAGACTGGATGCTTTAATAAAATATAGGTGCAGTAAGTGCAGTGTCAGGATAACCGAAGCTACTCTGCCACATCTGACTTCTGAGCAAGCTATCAATCAATCGATCGGTATTTCCGAGTAATAAGGAAATCAGTGGGTGGTTTTTATCAAGGTTTGGTATTCAAGAGACCCCGCAGACTACAGATTTCGGATCGCTTTGTTTGTAAGTTTGATAGGAAGCCCACAAAAAGTCTTTGGACAGGGTAGGTTACTGAACCCTAAACCTCTTCAGAAACTGATAGATTGGCAGGAAGGAACACTGAAGCGTATAATAAGAATGCATTAAGAACAGTGTTGGGAGCCAGGATAACCGAAGTTAACCTGCCAAATCTGACTTCCGAGCCAGCAATCGCAAATCAAATCAATGTTTGCTTTTTAAGTAACCCTGCAGACTACAGGTTATAAATCGCTTGGTGTGTGATCTTTTGATAGGATGCCCAGTTTCTATTTCGACTACGAAGTCTCTAAACATGGTATATGTTTCTAAACCCTGGACTTTTTCAGATACTAATAGATTGGCAGGAAGGTACAATGAAGCCTCCTGCCTCATCTGACTTCCGAGCAAGTAATCGACTAATCAATCAGTATTCCCTCCCGAATTATCATTGGAAATCATGCAGTGGGTGGTGTCTAAGGTTTGATCTCCAGAAAGAACCCGAAGACTCTAGATTATAAATATGTCGATTTGTAAGTTTCATTTTCATAGGATAAGACTACAAAGTCGAATGAACTATGGAACGATTGCTTCAAAAAACGTGAAAGCAAAGTTCGGTAGTTTGGAATAGAGCAAGTGAAACTATTCTTTCAATCATTCGGCATTTCGGTATTTTTTTACCGCTTGGAGCGCACGAAAGGGAATCCCAATAATGTTTGAAGGACACGTGCGTATCCAGGGAGCATAGGGAAAGGCGGTGGCTAAGAGAATTTATTTTGAACTTTTGGGGATTATAAGATCTTGGAAATACTTCCTTAGGCAATGAATTCCCGGGCTTTACCCTTCTATAGACAAACGAGTTTTGATAAAGTGCTGTTCGACATATTTCAAAGGTTCTGATCACTGGGCTAGTCGACGAGTTCGTCTGACTGGTATTTCTAGGGATGGAATGCTAGCAGATATTTTTGAAGAACATTTCCTGTGGAAGTATCTATAGAAGAGTGAAGGGTCGCCCACTTTCTTTGGTGAGTGTGGCATCAGCCACCAGGCGAATGGTTCTTTTCTGGATGAAATCTAAGAGCATCAGCGTATGTTCGGGTGGTGATCCCCATATGTGAGAACAGTATTCTAGAACAGGCCGTATCTGTGCTTTGTAGATCATGAGAAGCTGTTGAGGTGTAAACTGGAAAGTGTAATTTTGCACGGAACAGAAACCTGAGTTTTTGTTAAGCAGCTAGACTTCGCGATGGATCTGACATGATTATCCCATGAGTATTGCCGATGGAAAGAACGAGCATATTGGAATTGGTGGGAATAGTGGTACTAGACATTGTTATATCAGGCATACTGAGTTTCGCCCTTTTAGAGAGAATACGGGCTTGAGTTTTGCTGTCGCTGAAGGTTGTTGGTTTCCCAGGCTGTAATCTTATCAAGATCTTAGTTTCCTGATGGAACTAAATGGGAAGTCTGGAAGATAACGCAGTATGGAGAGTTCTATAATCTGCAAAGCTGTGTGGACGGGACAAGTGTTTTCTCCCAACAGATCATTGATATGAAGTAGAAACAATGTTGGTGCCAAAATTGATCCTGGTGGAACGCCGGAATTGGTGGCAATGGTATCAGACGATACTCCGTCCACGTCCACCACAACGTGGAGCGATGAGCCTGAAATAAAACTCAATAAAAGATGGGATTTGGGAGAATAATATGGAAACACCGTCAAATTAACTATAACTGTCAAATAGTTCGTTGACCGCCTCAATCATTTTATGAAAAGTGTGATCATGGCTCGTAGTTTAGACGATAAATTTGAAGCAGTTTTGATATTTGGAGAAGCTGGAAAGAATTATCATCTAGCAGTCCGTATGTTTGACTTTGAAGATAGATTTCCCGAGAATCCTCTTTCGAGGTCGTATTGGCGCAAACTTTTAAATAAGCTCCAAACTACTGGTACGCTGAAAGATGCTCCAAAATCAGGAAGACCGCCTCTTTCAGAAGAAAAAAAGGTAAAAATTGTAATGGTAATCAATAAAACTCAGTCGACGTCTGCAGTTGCTGAATCCTGTGGAGTAAGTTCAAAAAGTGTCCAAAGAGTCCTAAAAAAAGGAAAGTTTCATCCCTATAAAATGAAAATCCTACATGCCCTCACGGAGGAGGATCCAGATCGGGGGGTTGGATTCTGTGAGTGGTTAACAAGAACAATTGAAGGAGAACGATGCTTCCTAAAACGTGTATGTTTCTCAGACGAATACACGTTTTTTCTTGATAGAAATGTCAACAAACAGAATGTATCACGATACTGGAGCGATACTAATCCGCATATTTTCAGAGAGGGACATACCCAGTTTCCTGAAAAGGTGAATGTTTGGGCGGGGATTTTAGGCAATCGCGTTGTTGGGCCGATTTTCATCAGAGGCAATCTTACAGGAGTTCTTTACAAAACTCTTTTAGAAACTGAAATTGAACCTCGAATAAGGCAAATTGTATTGAACAATCAGGAAGAGTTTGAAATGGTGAAATCATATTTCAGCAGGATGGAGCACCTCCCAATTTCGATCGCAGGGCTAGAGACTTCCTCGATACTAACTTTCCTGGGCGACGGATAGGTCACAGGGAAAGTACAGAGTGGCCACCAAGATCTGCGGATTTTACACCTCTCATTTTCACTTTAGAGTATCTGAAGTGGAATACGCCAATGAATGCCAAACAATAGAAGAGTTGGGACGCAGAATAATAGATATATGTGAAGAAATAGATGAGAGAAGCTATTTATAATAATAATATTTATTGGCAAGATTTAGGAGGGGCCACTTTGAACACTTGATAAAATAATTGTTGGGGTTGACATGCTTAGGCTTCGCGATTTTCTGGTAAGCGGTGCTCTTTACGCCTCTTATTAGTCTAAATAATTACGAGATTGAAATAAAAATTAATAAAAACGTGTAGTTAGCAAAATATGTCACAGGAAGTGATCAAAATCCATGCTTCATTTCATATCGGAATGTCACCTTTCAAACGATAATATTTCGAAAACAATTGAATTATGGATAAAAGTGTATTAAAAAAAACTGTTAAGAATTATGAGTAAATTTCGAAAATGGAATAATATACGTGTTCTATTTAAAAAAAAAACATTGAAGATAGCGCTCAGCCGCCATTTTAAATCTTTAAGCTTTGATTTTTTCATGAAAAAGTTGGTTTTTATCTCCTATTCACGGGGGGGAACGGGCTATAGACGGGTAGTGTATATTATCCAACATCTATACCTCATTTTGGGCTCGTTCGTACGCACCACGGTCCTGACCCGACTCTGTCTTCACATGCCGGATGTAACAGGACAGTCGTAGTGGCACCGTTCGTCAACCCGTATGTAATCTGGGCGTAGAAAATAAAACCACCATATGTTTTCGTGTGCCTGTTTAGGTCGTTTTCGTTTTGTTTCTTGTTTCCTACGCTTGCTTTTATATCCCCCACGAGGCGAAAGCATGCATCCCAGCGACGCAGTTATCGGCTTCAATTAGATATTCATTTTGTCGGCCCTTTTGAGGACCGTCTGCCGCCCCATCGACTGTGATAGTAGATTCGTGCAATACTGGTAAACATGATACAGGGTGTGCCACTCAAAAATGAAGACCACAGAGGAAAAAGGTCACAATATAGTGGAAATTGACTTGACACCTCCATCTGATAGCCTAACCACTATATTTTAGTATAAACAGAAGTCCATAGCAATATAACGCAGCATACTCAGCTAATATGCTCGTTCGAAAATACGTTCATATGGAAAAAACGCGGAATGTCCACTTCAAAAATGTGAAGAAAGAGGAACGTCCAAGCTTAGTGCTTGCTTGAATGCAGTTTCCACTATGATTTTAATAGGTTGTTTTCACACTGTCAAAAGGTCAAAGGCAAACAAAAGATGAGAAGAGAAAGAGATAAGGCCTCCTTTTTGGATGGATGGATGGATGGAGAGAGGAGGTAGGTATTGGGATTTTCTCAACTTTTGGAGATTATAAGTTCTTGGGAATACTCTGTTAGGCAAAAAATTCCAAAGCTTTGCCGTTCTATGTACCTATAAACGAGTTTTGGCAAAGAGTTGTTCGACATATTTCGAGGTTGACGATTTCCACGGTTTCTTCTGTATTTAAGCGATATGTTTTGTTTATTAAATTTTATAGGACTTGCTCTACCAATACAGAAGCCCAATTGACCCACACGTGACCAACAAACCTTTTTTCAGCGATAAAATTTTGACATCGTGTCTGGTCAAGATTGCTCTGGATTCAAATCTAAGACAATAACCTGAGTTCCTACTTTATTTTATTTACTTAGATAATTCGCGTTAGTGAGACATTTTGTACGAAAGGCGAGACAATTTTATTCTGGCTGGACGTTTCATGTGTAATTCAAAAAGTTTGCATATTTGTTGACGGTCTGAAACAAAAATACTAGAATTCAAATTCCTTTTAAAAGTAATCTTCTTCACTCAAGTTATGGTGACTAATATAATTACCAGATGATGTAGCGCAACTGATAGGGTTGTTGCGCGAAGATACCAAGGTCGATGGTTCGAGCCCCTCGGCGACGACATCTTTTTTTAAAATTATTTCATGTCACATAAATTCAATTTATTTTGTTCGAATTGGATAGCAATTGTATACACCTCGGTATACACTCTTTTGAGAGGAACCATCTCCAAAATAATTTTAAAAATACTGTTTATGAAAATTGTACATTCCACTTTGTGAATAACTATAAGTAGGTAGTTAATTTCTAAAAAAGTTAATTCTGTATTTCATTACTATCATTATGTTCTTCTTCGCAGTTTGAATAATCATAAGAATACAACTCGTGATACTATTTTTCCTGAAAATATTCGTCGATTGACATGCTCCAGCTTGCTGCTCTAATTTCGCTCATGACATTGATCCAAAACTACTCGCCTACGGCTCGTAGTTTTGATAACAATGTCATTCACAAAATTACTAGGCAACAAGCTGTCGTAACAATCACCGAATATTTTCGGCAAAATATCACTTGTGGTATTATAATAATATGTGAAAAAATTACATTTGGAGGTCAATATCGAGAAAACTGTCAAGGTTAAGTCAATAGGATTTTTTGATTTTCTCATCAGTTCATTCGTATCCCAAAAATTCAACCATTTTCAGATACTTTTTTTTTCTCGAAAAAAATTACATTTGGAGGTCAATATCGGAAAAACTGTCCATTTTTTGAGGTTAGTTCAATGGAACATCTGTTCAGTATATCAGAGTTGCAAGATACCAAAAATTCAGCGATTTCCATCGAGAGCCATTTTTCCTATAGTTTAGTGCGGGGTCCTTTAAAAAGCTCAAAATTGGAAAGTTGGA